ATATATATATATATATATATAAAATACATTTCAGATAAGAAAAATCTTAATTTTAGGGGTGGACAATGGTAAAAAAAATAGGAAATTTGAAAAATAAAAAACATTAAGTGATGGTGAGGGTAGGTATGCATCATGTAATCTAGTTGGGAAAGCTGCAGATCAATGACATGAACAACCTCCTTTATTCTGTTCCAAATTCATGGACTTTTTTTTTATTAACCATCTATAAAGTTAGGGATGGTTTTAATCCTTTGTTAGTGGGGAATGTTCTTGATAACATATGAGAAACATTACCCATTCTTTGTTAACTACTTAAAAAAACACATTTCAATTGTTGTCTGCACATTGTCAAGCCAGTGCATTCAGCTAATTTCAGTCTATGCCTAACAGAGACAACAAAAATTAAGTGATGTCTTGTTAGGTTAAAGGCAAGACAAAATTTTATACATCTTAAAGCCCCTCTAATTTCTTTAGAAGAGTTTCATGTTTCATACATGATTGATTTAAATGAAGTTTACACTAAGTCTATGTACATTATGACCAAACAGATTGATGGAGTCAAGTTTTAAGTAGTTAGTTTGGGGAACTGTGTGTAACAAAGTTCAAGTATTTTTCTGTACTTCATACCCAGAGTGTTTCAGTTAAGAATGAAATGATTCATACCAGCATCAGTTTTATTGACTTGTCCAACAGTTTCATATCACAATTGTTATCCTAAAATAGAAAACTTTTTATAAAAGGTGAAGGTGCTAACAGAGGGCTAATAGCTTAGGCTTCTCTTCCTCCACATTAAATGTGTGGAGTCCCTAGTCACAGCACTGGTGTTGTTGTGCAAACTAAGGTAGCATGGGTGCCCCAGATTTGATCTGATGATGAATGCCTTAACCACTAGGATACCAAGATTCTTAATGTTTTCTTTTAGTAACAAGAGTGAATCCTCAATAGCTGCAGTACTTGAAATTCTTTTAGGCAGGGTTAGAAAAAATTAATCTATGAGACTTTATTTTTTCCTTTTTATTAGCTATATTTTTGTGCACCAGCAACACCAAGCGTGGGGCACATATACCCGAATCGATTTTATTACTCACCAGGATCACTGCCAGTCTACCATCAAATTAAAATTCTTTTAGGTAGGATTGGGCATGGTCAAATACGTAAATCAAAAGGTTTGACCTCCTGAGTCCAAAACTGTAATTGGATCTCAAATCAGTCAAGAGATGACTGAGCTATGAGCTAAAAGTTTGTACTTGGAAAAAAAACTTGGAGCCATTCTATGATCCACTTCACCACAGCTTAAAAAATAGGGAATATAATCTGTATTTCAGTAGATCTTTGGAAAGTAGTTGTTGTTTGTCTTTAAATACAGCATTGCTGATTTGAGAGCAAGGGTCACTCAAGATGATGCTGATTTCAAGAAGAAGGAGATGGAGTCAGGGCCCAAGGCTTCTTTTGGATATGGGGGAAAGTTTGGTGTACAGCAAGACAGAATGGACAGGGTGAATAATTATGTTATAAAACTGTTACATCTTTCTTAAGTTAATAATGTAGTACTAAATGTTTGATGCTACTCAGATGTTATAATGGTACTTAAATTTTATTTCCTTTTGCTTTTACATGATGATATGCATAGATTAATAAATATCTGAACTGAAGGAATTGATTTTACACAAGTAGTTCATAACTTGCCATATAAATAACTGATAATTTGAAAATAAGTTACATGTGTTAAGCAAATTACTATAGTTTTTAAATCCAAAGCTGTTTATTGTGAAGTTTAATAACCTATTTGTTATGATCTATGAACTTGTAATTGAATATCTCCAGTAAAATATCCAGCAAACAAAAAGTTAGAATTAAACAACACAATGTGTATTTGAATAAAATGAAGTTTCATTCGGTATCAGTACCAGGTGACAAGTTATTATTAGGTCTTGTGATGTTTTTCATCACAATGCTGAGGTTCAAAAGCAACTCAAAACAGTTTACTTGCTGCTTGTTAATATGAGTTCAGTGTGAATATAAATGATTTCTTTCTTATTAAATCTTTACTGCTTTTCATGTGCTAGGACTTTTGGAATGTATGATTTTACACTTTCTTTGCTGGAGCCTTCTTCAGGCTAATATTTTAATATCTCACAAAATATTTGTGGAAAAAACACATTTTCTGTTTTTTTTGTAATATTTTATATCATTCTTGTTTTTTCCTATTTTGTTTATTATTCCCAATGTCATAACTAATAACTAAATGTAGTAAATAACAATCTAATAGTAAATATTGTTTTCTAGAGGTTTAATTATTAGCTGAATTTAACCCATTGATAATATTTTTGCACACAGTCTGCTGTAGGACATGATTATGTAGCTAAAGTGGAGAAACACGTGTCACAGACAGATGCTGTAAAGGGGTTTGGTGGAAAGTATGGGGTGCAAAAAGACCGAAAAGATAAGGTAAATTTCACGGAAAATGAAAAAAAATGCATATCTGAAACTGTTTTATATAATTATTACATGGTATTTGTTTTATTGAATAAATCAATAATATATTTTTAGCCTACTTTTCTTCTATTAGTTGTATGATTAACTTACGACTGTATATTGCTAATACCCTAGAGTTTCTCGTAGCATTAGTATTGGTTTTGGCTGTAGAGTTGATGTTAATATAGTTTATTGATTACGTGTTTCAATTAAATATATTTTGTAGAATATTGAGAATAATGCAGCTGCAATTTTTGTAAAATTCCAAACTAGTTTGGATTTCACAAAAAGTTATTTAACTTACCAGCTATATTCTTTTACATTTTAATTTTGTGGGTGTAACAAATTGCCTAACCCATTGAATTGATATTTGGCTGATGAAGTGTTTTGATTATAATATATATCATTAAATGGTAAAATGTCTTAGTATGTTCCTGCATATATTTATTGAAAGTTAGTGGAGAATATTTTATTTCACTTTGTATTAATTTGCTTTTCTTAGAAGGTTATTTTTTCTATTTTCCATGGAAATTTCTGAATATATTCAAATATCAGGATGCTACATGTAGATTGTAGTTGCAAAAATGAAAAGTTTTTAATTTTGTTGAAATACTTATTTAAACAGTTGTATTTTTATTTATTTTTTACTTTCAAAATAGATACTCTAACATAGCACCTTGTAAGTAGCTGCTATGAGTTTCAATAACAGTACTACAGTGTACTTAAAACTGTATGGGTGTATAGTTTTTTAATTAATAACCCTACAGAGTATTTCAAAAGTGAAACTGGAACCTTCATGCATTTTTTTTTTCATGCAGTCTGCACTTGGATGGGATTATCATGAAAAACTGGAGAAACATGCTTCTCAGAAAGGTTAGAGAAACTTTGCTATACTTTATTTGCATGTGTGTGTTTGAATTTTAATCACGTGTGTACAAGAGCTTGCCTTGGAACTGGTGAAGTAATTATCATGCACTTGAAACACTGTAAAACAATAATGGTTGGAGACGGCTTGAATGTGTAATGAAGAAAAACTTTAATATAAGTTTAACACAACAGCAAATGTACAAGGTTTTGTCATCATCAGTACCTGATTCACTGTTATTAATCTCATTTAGCAAGTGAAAACAGAGTAATGAAAAGGGCAGTATTAAAAGAAATGTTGTAAAGCACTCAAGAGTTTTCTCAACGTTTTTTGCTGGATGATAGATGTTGATGCTTATGGAACTGCTGGAATAACAACTTGAGCAGCAATGAGCTTGAATAAAATTACTGGCACTTCTTTCTCGTAGCTATACTCATACACAAGACATATCCAGCCATGCACCTACCCATACATTGCCAAGCCCAACTGATTTAAAGTGCCAATCCCATAATATTAGGTTTAGAAAGAAATGTAATTGTAATAATTTCAATTTGTTTCCCATCAGGTACTTACAAAATGTCAATGAAAAACAGTTGCATATTTTTTTATCAGTGCATCATGAACAAAGAATTAGTTTCTTATGTAACTCTCTTTATCAGTGTAGTTTTGTGCAATAATAGCAAGTACAAATAGTAGAATGTAAAATATTATGGAACCACTTACAGATCATCATGCATCAACTCTCCACCAACAGGAGTGCGACATATTCTCATGACGCATGTGACTCCCTATATTTCATTCTACCACTGTCACTTCTCATTTGGCAGTACTTGTGTTTGCTTTTGGTGTTTTTCATGTGCTTTTCACTCATAAACTTAATAGTTTCAACTCCAAAGATAGATTTCTTCATTAATTTTTTCGTTATATTGAGGATGCTTTTTACTTTATCTTAATTTCCCAGACATTTTTTTTCTCTCTCTCACATTTGCATTTGTCTATCAAACATTTTTGTTTAATTCATATTTCTGAAATGAGTTCTGAGGTTCATGTTACCACTTAGGGTATCATACCTCCTACAAGCACTCTTTCAAAGGCTGCAGGTGCGGGTGATCCATTGTTGTATTTATCAGCGATTATCTGCCGAGAGATTGATCGTTAAATAGGTCAACCACCTTCTCCTTAACTTGCCCCACATCTTCATGAACAAGCCAAACCTGTTCAGGTTGTTGAAGATTTTGATAGCTTTTTTCCACCACTGGATTTTGCCGTGTCTTCCTATGCCCAACCTGTAGAGTAATCTAGGCCTAATATGGCATTTTTAGACATGATTTCTCAAGTATGTGATGTTTTATCCATTTCCCCAATTTCCTGTGATCCTCATCCTTCTTTGTTGCATGATAGTTCTTCCTCTCCATATTTAGTTTCCCACCTTCCCCGGATATTATTAGGGTTCATGCTGAGCAAGCTGATTCACAATTGGTTGAGGGTCCACCATGCCTCACTCTCCAAGGGCTAAGGATCAGTTTGCTTTGGCTTACCATCAAGCTGGATGTCCGTTTCTTGGCACTCAGCAGTTTGGGTCTATTTTATCTGTGTGTGTGGAGGGGGCGATCCTTGATTTTCCTGTGCATTTAACCAATGCCCAATTTTCATGCCTTCTTCTTAAACTTACTTCACTTCTATGGTATTTATCTACCATCCATCTCCTTTCCAAGGTGATACACCAAGATCCTGAGAGTTTTTTGAGTGAAAGCCTCTCCCTTTTACCTCCATGTTGGCTTGTTTGTCTCCCCTATCTTGGGTTATTGGGCAACTTTGTCCCACACCTATCGTTTTTCGTGATACCATAGGGTATTTACCTCTCCTACTCTTTCCTTGTTGATGCATTCCTTCCAAATTCATCATCCACTGTGGTAGACTTCCCTTCAGGACTCAGATGTTAATGTTGTCCTTCACTGCCTCACTTTGCCTCCTTTTGAACTACTTTCCACGTGCTCCTTGTTTCACCTTTCCCTTAAGACTTCGGTGGTCTGAATTGTTTGCCATCAATGTTTCACGTACTCTTTATCATTCTACATATATTCTCCTTTATCCAGATCTTTCCTTTTTCCCCAAAACTTTTTGCCAATTTCCATTTCCCACCTTTATCTTAAGCCTGATCCGGATAGACTTCTATGTCCTGTACATGCTCTTCAATGTTATATTGCCTGCAAGGCTTCTTTCTGTGGATCCTGTTCCTTCCTCTTTATTCCTTAGCAGCCATCCTCTGTTTGTGATCTTTCTCCTTCTACCCTCACCTATAGGGTTCGGCTTTTGAATCGATTGGCTTATTCCTTTTTATTGTCTTCCTTTCATACTTTGTCCCAGGTGTCTTCTCATCAAATTTGACACATTACCTTTCCTCTGGCATCTCATCTTTGTCATCTATTGGAGGAAATTCTTCAATCGGGCATATGGACTACTACTAATACATTTGTCTCTTATTATTTGCATAGGATAGCAGTTTCTTCCTCTTTGGGCCATTTGTAGCCATTCTTTATATTTCAGTAAGACTTTGATTGGGTATGTTATCTTTTATTATTCTTTATTTTATTTTCAGGGGCCTTATTTCCCTATTTATTGTTATTACTCAGTGTTTGGATTCCACTCTGTAGTGAGTGGTGCCTGATCAGGTATTCTTTAACCTTTCAAATCCACATTGTCAAGCCATGTTGACTTGCACATTATAATTCCATGGCCACGCAATGCACTCTGTAGAGATGGGGTGTTCCACAAGATCGCTAATAGATTTATCCTTGCAACAGAATTGCTTCATAAGTTTGCCCATCCTGGGCTGTACTCACCTATGGACTACATGGGTAAAGTGAAAGGGGATAACTGCCCATCTCTACCTTGTATTGAATAAATTAGTATGGTCTGCTTTTAAAAATAGGGTTTTGTGGTCACTGCCTCAGGTGTTGTTGTTCCTTTGGACTCTCCACTGCATTTTACTCCCCTTTTCTAGTGGTGGAGTTTGAGAGTCCTTACTCTCTCCAGTTCCAAGCCTCTGGGGTGATAGATCGTGCAGGCATCCTCCTGAATGGATTAATGAAATACAAACAATAAATAGAAATGATTATAAAACCATTTAGTTGAAAGTAGGGTGGTGATGTTCTGCTGGTGTAGATGATGTGATTTCCTCCAATATGAAACATAAAAACAAATGGGAGTGAGATGTCAAAATTGCAGTTCACCCCTTCAGTTGGAACCACCCCTCATCCTACCCCCCACATGGATGTCAGTTCCCAGTGGCCAAGTTTTGGATTTAGAGTAGAACTAATCAACATAAGACCTCACACATGTATTATAGATGTCTATATTACTCCCTCATTTACACTCCATCAGTGTTGTGGGTCACGTTGGAGGTAATTGCAGATTGTTCTGGTTCTTTTCCTTCTGCTATCCCTTAATATTTCCTATTCTGAAGATGTTGATGTGCATGGGATGGTTCCAGTCACTTTTGCTTTGGGAGGTGGTTTACGTTATTTAGACATATTTTTGTTACTGGATGTCAGGTTCCCAGATATCATATTCACATGTGCCCTGTTCATGAGTCTGTGGGTACTAGATTCCCTCTGGTCTCCTAAACTTGAGATGAAGATGGTGTGGTCCTCTTTTCTACCCCTGCCAGATGGCTGGGTTTTGAATTGTAGTTGACTTACCGACTGTATGATCTTCATCCTATCCCTGCGTGGATGTCTGTTCCCAGTGGCATATGTTTTGGATGTAATTGTCTTGCCATGTATGGTCTCACGCTCTAGCCACTCTACACCTAGAAGCACATCCTTTTCATTTTACCCACTTTTATAATTTCTGGGATTGAGTTTCATAAATATTGCTTGGTTCGGATCACTTTCCGGCCATTGTTCTCTTCCAATTGGAGGTGTTCCTCTGTTTTCCACCCATATATGTGATATCTTTCTACAATGGGCGAAGAGTGTACCTGGTTCAGAAGTGGTGCAGTTTCCCACATCAGATCTTAGAATCTGATTGTCTTATCTTAGGGTATGTCCTTTGAATGCTTTTGAAGGATGCTTATTTCTTTTCCTCACACTGGTCCCTCCACCTATTCAATATGGGATTCTAGCTATTTATGTCAAAGGAGTTAATGTACCATATCGGAAGTTATAATTTTCCTACACTGAAAATGTATTTCTGATAGGTAATTACCTCCTCCCCACTGAAAACCGGTGCTTCCATCTTCTGCCAAAACCCGAAGTGATAGGTAAGTAGAATGGAATAGAGGGAGTCACGTGCATCCTGAGAGTATGTTGCATTCCTATTGCTAGAGAGTTGACGCATGATGATTTGAATGAGAGACGCATTGGAATCAGTCAATTCCAATGGAGGGGAGATAGAAGGCTTGTGGCATGCATTTTTTTTGCATATAAAGGGCAGCACTGAACGAGAATAGCTATTTATGTGAGATGGAGGTAAGTACATATGAGAAATACCTTTTCAATGTAGGAAAAATATATTGTTAATTTTTCACAATCTAATACACTGTTGCTATTTAATCACTTACTTGATATCTTAACAGCACTTTCTATAAATGCACTGAATGTTGCTTGAATTTTCCAAGTTTTTAAATCAAATGTTGTCATAAAGCATCATCCTTTTTTGAAAATTGTTAGTCTTTTGCAAACGAATTTCTCATTTTTTTCAGAGAACTTATCTATCTTGGACTTCTATCTAAGTATTATTTTTCAATTTGATGATAATTATGCATTTTTATCGTGTTAATAATCATTTTCAAAACAGTAAGTCTGTCAAAAAACTTGCATGGACATGGTAATAGAAAATGTAACTTGTGATTTGGAAATATTCATTAGTTTTTCTTGTTTGATATATGATCAGATACATTTATTATGCTAGACTTAATTACTTAAATTGTGAAAAATACAAAGAAAAATTAAAATAATAAGAATAGCCGTAAAGTTGATGAAATAAATGTTTGTAAATGAATGATTAAAAAAAGTGGTTCCAGAAACTTAGTATCTGTAAAAATATAATTAATATCTCACCAAAAGATCAGTCGAGGACTCACTATAGCAAGTTAACATGATTTTGAACTACTCGTAAGAAAGTAATCCTTGTATCTTGGAAAACTAGTGTACACACACACACATGCAAATAGACTTTATTCAGAAGAGGTTTTTTTTGGATTAATATTTGTTTCCAGATTATGCTACAGGATTTGGTGGGAAGTATGGAGTTCAAGAAGATCGAAAAGATAAGTCAGCACTTGGATGGGATTATCATGAAAAATCACAGAAACATGAATCACAGACTGATTATGCAAAAGGTTTTGGTGGAAAATATGGAGTTCAAGAAGATCGAAAAGATAAGTCAGCACTCGGATGGGATTATCATGAAAAATCACAGAAACATGAATCACAGACTGATTATGCAAAAGGTTTTGGCGGAAAATATGGTGTTCAAGGAGATCGACAAGATAAGTCAGCACTTGGATGGGAGTATCACGAAAAAACACAGAAACATGAATCGCAGACTGATTATACAAAAGGTTTTGGTGGAAAATATGGTGTTCAAGAAGATCGACAAGATAAGTCGGCACTTGGATGGGAGTATCACGAAAAAACTGATAAACATTCGTCCCAGAAAGGTAATTACTACTGTATTAATATTTATGGTAGCATGGATAGAATTTTTTTTTTCTAGTATCTGAGTAGAGGTGAGCAATTAGTGGAATTTAATAATTGATTAATCATTGAGCTCATTAATCTAGTACATCCACCTAATCAATTATTCTCATATGAGACTAGGATAGTTGGAATAATGAAAAAAATTAAAATAATCAGACATACCAATTTTGATTAGTTGATTTTTGTGTGTCATGATACCAATGGATTAAATTGAACAACCAATAGATTAAACTGACATTAATTGATTTAATCATAATTTTTATTAGCCAATTAATGTAAATTAATTAATCAATGCTCATATTTCAATTGAGTTATTCTCCCTGCTGTATATTTGAGTTTTGTATAAATTGAAAACAATCAACTAAACAAGGCATTTGATTTTTGTTTTTCTTATATCTTTGAAGTAGCTCATTTATATGAATACATTTTCAGGTCTAAAGTAATAACCACTGAATAAAAGCTGAAGAGAGGATGTGACTACATTACTCATCATCTTTTTTGCATTAACACAGTTTAATTTTAGATACTGTAAAGCATTGATAGTTTTCTGGTATTAGATAAAGAAACTTTCTTTAATTGTTAATTAATATTATGTAGTAAAATATTCTCTGCATTGTTTCTTAAATAATTATATTGTAAAAACTTGGGTTGGTTGTGGTGTTAGTGGTTTAGTATGCAGGATCGTGAATAAAAGGGACCATGGACTACATCCCATTGTTGTATATCCATGTTTTACACTTTGGGGCTGGGTATGCATTATAAGTGTGGCAATTAAATCCCATTATTTGTTTAGAGTAGTTCAAGAGTTGATGGTGGATGCTGTTGACTAGCAGAGTTTAGGGATGGCTAGTTCAGATAGCTGTTGTGTAGCTGTCTGTGAATATCTGAAACAAAGATATGTATTACACTATAGAGCATGAAGTGATGCAATCAATAATAATGGTGTGTTATTCTGTCTAGACTATTCTCAAGGATTTGGAGGAAAATATGGTGTTCAAGTAGACAGAAAGGACAAGTCAGCTCATGGATGGGAAGAAGTTACCAAGACAGAAGCACATCCTTCTCAAGTGGACATGAAAAAGGGTTTTGGAGGCAAATATGGAATCCAGTCAGAAAATCAAGATAAGGTAATTGATAACATTGTTATGTGTTGAAATTGCTCATTTTTGGAACAATAAGTCATTCAGTTGGACAGATATTTATTTGAGATCAGGGGTAAATGAGCTTAGGTTCCGTACAAAATATTTATTCATATATAGTTTTTTTTTGTTTTTTTTGCAAAATGTTTTAAGTACACTTTGTGTTTTCATGAAGTTGTATAAATGAAACCCAACTGTATTTTATTTTACTATTGTAACTGAACTTTTCTCTTCAGTCAGCATTACCTTACACAGATGTAGAAAAGCCCAAGTCTTCCTACGAAAAGGTGAAGCCAGAATTAGGTAAGAATAGCAGCACATGTAATGAAATATAGTTTTTCTGCAATAGTTTTATTATAAAAACTAGTATTTGTATGTTCTGTAAGTAAGGTTAAACTCTATTCTCTCTTTGTTACTTTCATTAACAGTATTGTGTAGAATGTTTTTATAATATATCTAGCTTTATTATCTTTAATTTTTATCCTTATACTTTTATTATAAAGACTGCTTTGCATTGTTAACTTTGAATTTGGAATTAGAACTAACCTAAATCATCAAAGCTAGCCAAACCTAATGAGATGTTATTTACAGCTAAAAATATTGATAACCATGTGGAGTGCTCAACTGATGAAACAATGCATTCTAATCTTTATGAGTAAGAACTTAAGAAAAGTATATTTAATTAGCTATACTCATTACTGGGTTAGTTTGTAGTTTTGATCTAAGTAAGTAGATTGCTCTAATTTTCATAAAAATGAGAAAATTTTCACTCATAATTGTATGGATGAATTACAACTACTCTGACATTCAAGTGTCCAAAATGTGTGATAGAATAACTTTATAATCTTCTAAACGTGTGTATGTATATATTAGTCATTGCATAAATTATCTGTATAAATTGACGTAACAAATTTGGAGTAAAGTTTTTCCCCTAGAAATGTTTAAAATATATTATTACTTCAAGAATAGGCTACACATGTGTAACATTCAGTAAACAAATGTGCTATAAAATATAAATTGAATTTTAGAGGGAAAAAAAAACTCCAAGGGTTGCAAAATAAACTTTTCTAATTTTTGCCAGGAACATAAACATCTTCTGGTAAATTATTTATCAAAGATTTTAAGTTTGATTATATACTTTTTTCTTTTTTTTTAAGCATTGATAATTTATTACTTGTTTGCTTTTCTGGTTTATTTCACAAAGCTTTGAAAAGGAAAATTTCATTAGTCTCAGATTAACACTGTCTGTAAGATAGATATGGAGGAGATTGGAGGTTGCTCTTTCAAAAATTTGAAAAAATATATTTTAAAACTTAACCATAAAGTGAAAATGTTAATGTCCAGTAAGAGGTTAAGTTCAAAGAACAAACCTCCAGCAACCAAGAAATTGAGGTTATTGTACTCTTCCTGATATATCAGTAATTATAACATTTTAAAATGTTTTTTACTATGACTAGTGTCACTTGTATTAGACATCTTAATCTTTCAATTTCACCTGATTGACATCTGTACAAGTTACAATTCTGAGAAGTACATAGATTCCACATTTGCAACAAATAAACAATGTTTTTTGGTTAATGGTGGTTTCATACAAAAAAAACATTTAACATTCTTAGAATAATCAGCTACTTTATATCGTCTTCACAGCCAATAACTGAAATATCCTTTCTTATAATAATTTGCAGACTTTATCTATATACATTTCCCATAAAATCTTGCATTGTGTCCCCCCAGTAACACAAGCAGATCCCTTGATGTGCAGTTTTGTCATTTAACACTTGGATTTTGGTTTGATATTAGGGAAAACCTAGAGAGAGAGAGAGAACTTATGAACTGGTATTTTACATTTTGGCCTTTTTATTTATATATATTTATATATTTTGTTTTTTCTAGTATTTCATCTATTGAAATATCATGAGTCTATACCATTCCTTTTATGGTATTATTTTCACTGACTTACAACAAAAGTTCATTATAGTTTGTTCTGTTTTTAAACTTTTTGAATAGTATTTTAGGCTGTTTTTTACATTAATTGTAAAGTTTTTATCATTATATATATATATTGATGAAATAGGATCTACCAATAATTTTACAATATTTTAAATATCATTTGATATTTTACTGCTACTTGTGCTTTCAGAATGAACATGCTTTACTTATTTGATAGAAACTTGTCATTGTTGTTCTATTGAGAAGCCAAGACTGTAAACACAAGCTTGAGTGTTACATCAGTGACTAAAGAGTTCATGCTTTTATAAACAGTTTGCTTGTTAGACCATTCATAGTTATACATTTTATTGCATAGTTAGTGGTCTAGCAATGTTGTGGAGGTTTTTTGTGAAATTCACAACAATTATTTGTTAGTTAGTATGTTTAACCATGGCATAAGATGAAATACTGGGTAATTGTTTCCCCTTTTTAAATATTGTTTTTATTATGTTTATAGTTACACTGTAGAAAGTATATATATATATATATATATATTGTATTTATTATCTTGTAGTTCCACAGAAAGCTACTGGCCTCAGAGCCAAGTTTGAAAATCTCGCACAAGCTGAAAAAGAAGATGCAAATAAACGAGCAGAAGAGGAAAGAGCAAAAAGATTGGCAAGGGAACAACGAGAAAGAGAAGAAGCTAAAAAGGCAGAGGAGGCAAGTTTATGATAGTTGTGCATGGAAATACTAATATGTACTGTTGCATCCATCATTACTTGTCACGGGGCTGATTGTAAAGTCATTGTGAACTATTAAGATTAATTTTTGTAAAGCTGAATGGTATGTGTGCATTAAAAAACCATTGCATTACCTTAATTTCTTATTAATTCTAAGTTGAGTCTTTTTACATAACCTCAGCATAAAGTAAAAAATAAATGTGGGGTAGTCAATAAAAACTCAGTTCTACAACCTCTACTTTATTTAGGATTCGAATAAAATAAAACTCAAAAACTTGCAATACAGAATTTACTTTGCCATTGCATTATGAAGATCTTATAGTTGGCATTTTGAAATTGAATTTCTTGTAGGAAAGACAAAAAAAATTAGCTGAAGAAAGAAGAAACATGCCTGAAGAAATAGAGGATCAACCACAAGAAAAGGCTTTATCTTCATCTGAAGAAGAAACACCTAAAGGTCCCTACATTCCAGCAGGAGCTCAATCTGTCATTCCTCAAGTATGTTTTATATTAAATCTACTACCAAATGTACCCATGCCAAGTGTGAAATTATTTTGTTGGCTTCATGATTACAGGATAGTGATTACTTGCTTCATTTCCTGGCACTGAGACAAGGGGATGGGGAATTTAAATTACTGTCAGACTCCAAAGAATTATGAAATAAATAAAGTAAGGAGTCTTAGAAACCCTCTGGTACATAACCAAGAACTCCTGAGAGCTTCACAGTCATCAGACGTCAGGAAGATGGAAAGTTTTATCAGACAGACAGGCACAAGCCACTTTAAAGTATTTAGATATTTAAACTCCATCTGAGATTCCTCAATTAAATCCACATTAAAGCTTAAGTCTAAGACTACCATGCCATACAATCCATATGATCTAATGTCGCTATTTTTCAAAAATAAAACTAGTGGATGAAGTTTGACAAGAACTTTCCTAAAAGTATTTAGTTTAAAAAAATAAAACATTTAGTTTTGATTTTTGGACTATTTCTAATAAAAATTTGTTATCTAACATAGTTATTTGCACTTGGACTTTGAATAGTTCACCTACAAGGTGATTCTCCTTTTGAGTATAAAAATACTATTTATTATTTTACAGGTTTTACATTTCATTTAGAACCTCTTAAATGAATGTCAAAAATTTTTTAAGTTAAATGTTCATATTTTATTCTCCATTTTCTCTACCATATCACTAACTATTATTATCATCAATGTACAGTGCAATGAAATGTTTAAAATTAAGAAATGGAAATATGTAGTTACCTTTTATCTCTTCATTGAATAACCTTAAAATATCGTCATTGGGTCATTAATTTCAAGTCTACCTTCTCACAAATTTAGTATTTTTTATATTTTATTTTCCAGTTTATCTTTTATTATTGATGTCTACACACTTCAATAGGTTTCTGTGGGCAACATAATAATACAATCGGCAGAGAGTCTGCTTTGGCATATGGCATAATGTTTGCTCTTGCCTCTTTTTATAATGCACGACCAGCTGAGCTAAGAGTAGAAAAACTTAAATAATCATTAAATCTTTCAAGTATGAATTTAAAAAAAAACAATACACAATTAACTAAAACATAAAAGTAAAAACCTTAATACTATTTAATTGTATCAAACTAATATGTATAGGGTGAGAAAAAATAGCCAAGAGCTAGGGACACTGATTTCCACAACAGATTTAAAGTGGAATTTGCTTGTCATTTAAAGAAATAACTTATTATTTTCTTGCCTCCTATCCTGGAGAGACTGAGAAATCTGCACATTTCTAATGGTTATAATATCCCATTCAAGGGTACAAAAGAATGTTACTTGGCAACATATTACTTTTGAATGTGAGCCTGGTGACTAACAGGAGGGGTTGACATATAAACATTTTCTCAGAATTCTAGCCATGTTTTAATATGAAAGTAATATTTGGAATTTGAACTTCTATACATAGAAGCTCATCTAGACTGTCGTAGACATGCTGAGGGTAAACTGTTAAAAAACATAAGCAACCAAATGTAAGATATTTCAACTGCACAGACATCATATCACAAGGAACTAAGTTCTAATTGTTTGTTTCAGAGGTTTCTTTCGAAGTAAAGGAACAGTAACTTGGATAATATAAAACTTTGAATTATAATGTACTTGATAATTTTAAGCTCATTAAACTACATTGATAGTAAAGTACCTTAATTAAATTTTGAATGTAATTCGTTAACATTTGGTGAGATGTGCAATAAGAAATTTAAAGATTGCACTGATAGTCATAGGGTTAAGCCTGAGAATACTAAAACATTTTTTTTTGTATGAGAAGCTTATTCAGAAAGTTTTAAGCAAATTCACATGTTATGTCTACAGTAAGAATGTAATTTGTGATTCCTAAAATTGAAATTCCTACATTGAAATTGCACTAAAGCTCAGTAGTAATTTGTAATTGAATAAAAATCAGAAAAGGCATGAGGATGGGGTTGATATGAGGAGTGATGGAAGGTTATAAAGTATCGTGTAAAATGACTGAAATGTCCTGGAAAATTACATTTAACCAAGGACAGGAACTGTGATAATGACTGAAAATTGCTAAAAATTTGCATGTTATTAACAAAAATAAATTACTTTTTTTATTTCTTGTATTGTAATGCTTCTTGATATGGTGGTGAAGTTAATCATTGATGTAATATATACAGTGACTAACATACAAAGTTGTGAAATTCAGATATTTAAAGACTGCAGTCTTATCATTAAAAAATAACTACTCCTGAATTTTCACAGTTAGATTAGACATGCCCATTAGTTGAACTTACATACACAACTTTAACTTTCTTTCTACATTAACTCCATGCAGCCCATAGAATTTGAACATGAACAATTTTGTGTCACTTACGTAATGGTAGATGCAAAAGGTGATCCCTTACTTACTCAATCTTTCTGTTCATGTATTTTACTATTAGATGTAAAATAATGTCCAAATTATTTACATTTCTTAAAAGAATGCTTTGCTGCATAATGAAAAATGTCATCAACATATAGAAAAACTGCAAATATTTGTGGTTTTGTCCAGTTATGTTTTTCTTTTTTTAAAAACAAAAGTTCAACATTTAGACTGCAAGTTTATTGTATGCATATAAACATCTTTTAATGCAGGCCTCAACAAATACTTTCAGATCTAAGAGCCAGCCCAAAAAACTTGAGAGTCAGGTGTGCCTAACCTAATTTTACTATTGTTTGTACCAGGAAATGGGGGCTACACTAATGCCTTGATTATATGTGTCTGTTATTTGCAATACTCAATTATTTGTGTTTTTTGTTTTCCCTAAATTATGCCATTACAATTCTAGACAATAATTTACATGTTTTGGAGAAATTGTTACTCAGAAATTAATTGTGGTTGCAAAAGTTCAGGCGTTGCATAATATCCAGGGTTTTTGCTTGCAGGATCTGGCATGCATTCAAATTGTAAGTTGGTCAGATCAAGTCTAGCCTTTTATTTTTAGCTGTTGTCTGCTGTTTTGTGCTGCATGGTGACCAATCCATTAACCACAGATGTGTGTTCAGTTTGTGTTGTCCTCTTCCCTACAGATAGTTGTTATCTTCAGTCTATTTTAACAAAGGCTTTTTTTGTAATAATTTTGGGTCAGTTGTATTAATGCTAGATTCATTACAAGTATTATTATTTTTTTATCTCCAGAGTCTGGTCATGCGACATATGCCAGAAGAGCCTCAGGAACCAGTTCAGCCATCAGTCATAACTGAGGAAATTCAGCCACCCAGTCAGTTTGAAGATGAATCAAAACCTAGTCAGGAACCTCAGGAAGAAGGTACTTGGTATTTAATATCTATTCATGAACTTTGGGAAAATGGTAATTTGTCAGTCATGTATTTTCACTATCCTGTTTGGTACATAACATCTCATCAGATCCTCAAGAAGAAAATAATCCAACATGTTCGCACCATTCTGTTTAGTATTTATTCTATAACTCTACAATTTATGACTTAAAATATTAGGTATTTGAGGCAGAGAAATTTTACAGAAAAATCATAGTTTAAATATTTATTAAAATATAAACATACAATGTTTTGTCATTGTCATGGTTAGTACTCTTCTTTTTGTACTTAATTAACTAACACGTGTGTTTCAGTTACTGACCTGCAACTATTTTGAGAATAACTGCTGGTGATAGATTTTGAATTTGTCTTCTGATTGGAAGACATTTGTTCTGAGTGACACTTAACTAGAATGATATGCAGTTGTCCTGGTCGTCGTCACCCTACAGGTTAATTCTGAGTAACCATGTGAATGTTGTAGAAGAGATAAATAAATTATGCTCCACAAGTTAAGGGTGTTTTTTATCAACTGGATAAAGTTTCTTTTTCTTGTTGTCATTCTTGTTTAACCATTTTTGTATCTTTCCCCATTATTATAAAACTATCCTCTTGGACATAATGGGTTATTATATATAGATTAACCCTATCTGACTGGGCATCATTTACTGCTCCTGTCATGAGGTTTTAGTGGCTTACATTCAAAATTTTATTAAAACTACATTTTGTTTGTTATATCCATTAGTATAGCATAAAATTTGTAGCTAATAATCCATATTTTAATAGTATATAAGTTTTAATTTTATAAGACAATATTTAAAAAATCCTCAATTTCCCCTAGTGGAGAAAGGTGACAAATTTTCTGTAGGCATCCCATCTTCTCTATTTTATTCACCACCCCTCCAATAAGTAATAAATTCAATGTAAATTACTCACTGTAACTCAGACAAACCATAATTTTTATAGCTTTCAATTTTGTTTTATTACAGATCCATCAAATAGAAAATCAGACCCCTCTTGCCACACCTACCTGTCGCATCCTCTTACGTTTAATTCTATATTATCTTAAACCAATAGAAAGCCAAGGTTTTCATCTATCAAATGATGTATCATATCATATTACTTTGTGTTCTGAACAGAGAACTGTCAATTTCTCTTTTAGTACAAGCTTCATTCCTATGGGAAAGATAACGAATAGTTTAGATGAATTTGTAACAGCTCTTGTCGAATAGTAAAAAAGCCAGAAAAATTGTGATAGTTAGAGGAAATTGTCTGCTTTTTGCATCTTATTAAACTATGTTCTTTGGTGCATTATTTAATTAAATAAAATTTTGTGCATTACTACCATTAGTATAAAAAAAAAGTAGGGTAAAGTGTCATTGACAGTTGACAGCAAAAAAAAAGAAAAAGAAAGAAGACACGGGTAAATACTTTATTTCTTGTTTTTCATGTTTATTCTTTATTTATTAATATCAAATTAACTAAAATGTAAAAATAGGGATCTCTTGGTTAGATTAAGTAAAATAAATAATGATATAATAAGTCACATACACGAGCAGCTTGTAGTAGCTCATGGGTAATGTAATTTGATAGAGTAACATGAGCTGCATGTTCCCAAAGTGATTTACAACTTATAATGGCATGAATAGTAGTTAGACACAGTTCAAGGGGCAATAAAATTTAATTATAAATATATGTATACTATTACAAGTTTAAAGCCACTTAGGACAAACCAGTGTAGTTTCATGTTATATTTGAAGTCATTCTAGAAAGAAAAAGAGAGTTATTTCGATTTTTTATTTATTTTTGGTGGTTACAAGGTCGGTCAAATTGACCAACCTTCTATAGAGTTAGGGTAGAGAAAATAACAGATAAAATATAAAGTTTT